CTATGGAAATTATAGCTCAGGAAGTTAAGGATCCACACTCACATGACCAATAAGGGGTAAGCCAGGAACCACACTCAGGCTTTACTAACCCAAGCCTGACTCTCTTTTCTATAATATGTTGTCTCACCAAATAGAAAGACATTGTAATCATCTTATATCAAATGTTATTTTTCCTTATCTGTGAGGAGTGTAATAAAAGATCTCCATACTTAAAAACATGAAACAAAACATAGAAAAGGTCATAGTATTGAGAAACAAGTGTCCCTCTCTTTTTTCTAAGTAGTCTGTATTCATTTTAATTTTTTTAAATACTTCCATGCAGGACGCTTAGGTGAATATCAATAAAATTATAGATAACAATTATTCTAAATAAAACTGTTTTGAATCCAGAATGTACCCAAGTTTTCTCTGTGGAAAACAGTAGTGATTTGAATACTAGTGAAACTATCATAATATAGAAGCCATATGTGTGTGGGAATCACTTTTATGGTTAATCTATCAACTTACTAAAATTAAAAGATTTTAAGCTGGTGAAAATTAAGCAACGTTTTATGGATGTCAGGCAAAGAATAATTTATTTGCTTCTTAAACCAAAATTGAAAGTAAATAACTGAATAGAATCAGCACATCGAGAAACTTTGGGGATTATAAACCAAATGCAGAAAAAGAACACTCTCCAAACTGGTAGGATTGCAGGGAGAAACTTGCAATTTAAGATAATAACTTACATGAATAAACGTGAGATATCTTCACTGAACACAGATTTTTGGTATCTAAATGTCATTAACAACAAGAAGAAATGAAAATTCTTGTCACTGGTTTTTGTGACCCCACAAAAATTAAGATTCAGTGATGGAGTTACTACTGATTTTGTCCCCACTTGATTTCAAATTTTGCAATTGTGAAGAGTTTGTTGGTTTGTATGATATGGACAAGAAAATTGATTTTAGAATATTGGCTTAATAAATATAACTCTGAAGACACTATCCTAAATCCAGAAATTTTCAAAATTTTCAAAATCAAATGTTATGTCGTACAATTAAATTTTCTCTGAATAATAAATTATTTGTTAATTATTTGAGACATAAACTTGTACTTACATGTCATTTATTTTTTTATATGTGCTGCCCTTGCTTTAAGATGCAAAATAAAAGGATACTTCAAAAAGGTTGTAAAAATATAGAATTTAAAGACAATACAAATCTTTCCATGAACTTTTTGAAGTACCCTCATACACTCTAAGAGATGGCATTCAACTATGTTAGGCTCTTGCTATTTCAACAGATTTTAAACTGTCAGCCAAGACCCTCTGTATATTGCTTAGTATTTTGTAAAAGTACATACATAATCAAGGACAACTTGACAGTATGTACTTGTAGAACACCAAGATCTTATGTCAGTCTGTGTCTTTACCAAGGAAAGAAAAACTTTTCAGCAAGTTATTTACAATCGCAAAAATATAAAGCTAAATTAAGAGAGGCAACATACTTCCTGGTACCTAAAAGGAAAAAAGGCAATCAGTCATTTTGTATTTCACCTACAGATTATATACCATGTAAGTTTAACCAAAATTTTCAAACTCATCCTGTGATCTCCTATACATATTTTTTTATTGTTAGTAGAAAATTACTTTTTAGTTTGAAGAACAGTATTACATTTTCAATTTTTCTAAAAGGAAGTGATGCCTAACCAAAAAAAAAAAAAAAAAAAAACAGTGAAAAGTCATTGGAGGGGAGAAACAAATTTTTCAAGCTGAACTGAATTCATACATGGTTTCTATTTTGCATTTGGCTACATTTTAAAAGACCTCAGGTCTCCATTGTTCAAAAATAGGCTCTATGCCCACTTTTCAAGGCACATTTATATCTTGGATTTAACCAATTTACTCCATTATAGTTCACCTTTTCCCTCAGCAATACCACCTGCCATGTTTTAACTTCAAACAGAATATTAAAATGCTGTACTTTATTCCTATGATATGAATTTTGACACTTAAATGTCTATTTAATGTTACTTGAGAATCTATGTTCAAATAATTTTACATAAACTATTCATTTTTAAGCCTTGTTTTCCTCTGAATACAAGTCAATAAACATGTGGAAAAATTATACAGAGATACATATCACTAATACCTCCAAGCAGTAACAAATATTTCCTACAAATAAGCTTAACATTTATATAGGTGTGTCTATTCTTAACTATGAACATGGAAACAAAAAGTATTTACCTGTGTGATATAGCTAATATTAAGAAATACTTTAAAAAAGAAGTGAGAATATATGGGTAAACAATATTTAAATATTGCTTCATATGTCAAATATTTCTTGTTTTGTGGACTGAAATCTGAATTTGTAGGCTCAAAATTAAGAAATCAAAAATATTTACTGATCTCTTTCTTTTGAATCAGTGCTGAGCTGGTAGATGCAATGGAGAGAAATGAAAAACCTGACAAACATCTGGAGCAAAGAAATGGCAGGATTTGGGGTTAGATGGAAATAGGTGATGAAAAACTATGGAATAGCTAAACTTTCAATCTCTTTTATGATAAAACAAAATGAGTTGCCATGTTTAGGAAAGGAAGTCAATAGATGAGAGGGAGGGGACATATTAAGTTTCAGTGACAAACAGTCAAATAAATAATTCTAAAGAAACTGGAAATATAAG